TTAGCTGTTTTACTAAGTATACTACTTCAAAATGAATTCTCAAAACGTTTTTACATATTAAACTCTTTATCAAACTGTCTTACATACTATATCTTTCCTTTCAAACTTTGTTATAACTATGTTTCAAACAAAGGTTTTCATGCACTTCAAGCCGTGTTTCAAACAAAGGATTTCTTATACTTTAAACTGTTCTTATCAAACAAACTGCTTTTAAATCGTTTTATAAACTGACAACCAAGTCATCAATTCTTATTTATTAAAATTTTCAAAGGTTTTACAAAACTTCTTTTAAACTTTTAGATTGTCAAATGCATGCCTATATATGTATAGTTATGTAAGTAATGTTTAAAGGACTTAGGACTCCTAGCTCGCTTTAATTCCTTTTCCTTGTTTGGATATGGCATTTGGGTATCAGTTATTTGTCTGAATGTCGTCTAAATATTAATTATATATTATGTATACATATATAGACATAAAAGTTCCATCACTCAATTCAGTACCTTTGGGTAGCAAAGACATACTTTCGGTTATACACGTACATTACTAGTAACTATAATATGTATAGTTAGGAGATACTATTTACTATTCCTAGTACAAGGAATCACACTAAGAGTCAATTCATACATGAGTCAATACATACACTACACTAATACATACACTACTCTAATACACACTAACTGAAGAGACACTAACACACACTAAACGAATAGACACTAATACATACTATACGAAGAGACACTAATACATACTATACGAAGAGACTCTAATACATACTATATGAAGAGATACTACTATATACTATATGTAGAGATACTACTGCACATTCCTGGACTGACCATCCTACACTTGGCTGCTCGCTACAGAAGGTGTGTTCATCTACGGATGTTCTCGGTTGTACTGTTCGGCAAGTTACCACGTCGTGTTTATCCTAGATAAATGGATACATTCTTAAGGATTATACAATTTTCCTTATTACCTTTACTTTGTGACACGTTCACATAAACGATGGGGTAGAATATATATATATATATATATATATATATATATATATTATATTTTGATATGATTTCAAATAAATATATTATTTTCTTTATTACCTTTATTTTGTGATTCATTCACTTAAACGATGAGGTAGACTATATTTTTATAATAATAGTTATACATGGGAAAAACTGTCATTCTTACAATGAAGCATACCTTTAAAACAGTCGGTTCTTGGTAGAAGACTACTTTTTATACTAGTAGGAAATATGGGATTTTCTAGGGTTTTCATACTTATACAAACTTTTCCTTAAACAATTACAAGTATTTCATTACAAGTTTTTACAAATCAATGACACTAAAATACTTATGAAGTCACCAGCTTTATGTTGATAAACTCTTTCAAAACAACTTGTATTCTCAGGTCACCAGTAGACATGTACGATGACCAGGTTTTGAAAAGACAAAGCAGTCAAGACTCGTCTTTTATCTTGATTATTTATTATGTTGTTTTATTTTATGAAAGAACACACTTGTATTAAAATTTTACTATTAATGAAATGGATGATGATGTTGCTTGTTTACTACTTTACACTGTTGTGATACTTTACATGACGTCCTCTACCCCATAACGTTTCCGCCGTTCTTGGTTTTGGGGTGTGACAATCCATAGCACCCTAACTCATGACCCTTGAGCTTTGATAAGTGTGTGAGTCATTTTTCAGAGTGTTTGTGTGATTATGAAGCTAGAGGAAGAAGAAGAAGGAGCAAGAAGGTTCAAGGAAGCAGTAGATCCAGGGTTCAAGCTCCATTTCCAGTCTCTTTAAGGTATAAAGTTGCCTCATTGGCTTCCTTATTGCTAGATCTCTCGATGTTGAGTTTAGGGCCATCTTTTAGTAATTATGTGAACCTTTTTGGAGTATGGAGTGTGATATGAAGTTGTAACTTTAGATCCAGATCCCTTTCAACCCCTTTAACCATAAAGTTTACAAATTTATCATGCTTTAGCCCTTCCCTTTGGCCTAGACTTCATTTTAGACTTGGAAATGGTGTTTTTGGCTCATAACACCTTGCATGCACGTAAAGTTTGCAACTTTACGTGTAATATCGACCCTAGGAGGTCAGATCTACGTTTTAGATGCGTTAAACCCGATTGAAATCGGCTGTATGGATTTAGACATTGAAGGACTCGACGAGTCGCTCATACGACTCGACGAGTTGCTCATACGAATCGGCGAGTTGGGTCGTAGTTTCCCCGATCTTTTATGATATTGAGCAACTTGTTTAGTTTTGGAGATGACTCAACAAGTTGGGTTCGTTTATCGACTTGAAAATCATGGAACCCGTCGAGTTTAAGGATGAACTCGGTGAGTTAAGAGAAACTGTCCCAAATGAGATGAAGATGAACTCGATGAGTCCAAAGAATGACTCAACGAGTTCAAATGGAAAGTCCCAATTCTGTCATAAGGAGAACATCAGCGAGTTGAAGGGTAACTCAGCGAGTTAGATCGCGAAATCAAGATTCTCTGAATTATGGAACTCGACGAGTTAGTGGACCAATTCGGCGAGTTGAGTTACCCAGATGTCGACTTTGACCAAAAGCTGACTTTGACCAGGGTTTTGACCTTGACTTTGACTTTGACATGAGTTGACCCTTGAAAGGGTTAAGGGTATGAAATGGTAATTAAGGAAGGTTGCTATGTGTAGGAGTTTGAGAGGAGTTGATCCCAACATCGAGAACGGTTCAGACACTTCACGACATTAAGGTAAGTTACCTTCCAACAGAAGTAGGTCGAAGGCACTAAGGCCGACCCACTAGAAAGAGTTATAGTAGATATAATTGTCTTTGTGATAATTATCTAGTATATTGTTATCTGTTATGATTATGTGCTAGTATGCTATGATGTTATGTAATGTATGATAGAAGGGGTATGGTAGACCCCAATACCGGTCGATAGGGCTGAAGGGGTATGCCAATACCCAGATCAGTTAGGCAGTATATGCCTTGTATGTTTATGCACTAGGATGCTATGTGGTAGAGTAGGGGGTGAAATACTCCCCAGTGTCATCGAAAGGATCGAAGGGGTAGACCAGCACCCTGATATGCTAGGCAAGGTTACCGGTCGTCAGGATCAAAGGGGTACGCCAACACTCTGATATGCTAGGCAAGGTACTGGTCGACAAGACCGAAGGGGAGGCCAGCACCCGAATATGCTAGACAAAGTATCGGTCGACAGGACCGAAGGGATAGTTAGTACCCAATTATGTTATGCAGTATGTGTTATGTATGGTATGTAGTATGATGGGGAACTCACTAAGCTTTGTGCTTATGGGTTTTAGTTTTGTTTTTAGGTACCACTTCATCGAAGGGTAAGGAGCCGACACGGTAGCAGCGTATCATACACACACTAGATTTCTATATTATGAGATTATTGGGATTGTACTATGATATTATTACTATTTTTATGATATTGTTTTGAAACATGTGATTATGGTTTCTGAAATAATATGACTTGATGATGTTTTCTTATAAATATTTTCCAAATCGTTATATCAAAAATGAAATTTTTGGTATTGAAAATTGGGATGTTACACTTCTAGCAAGTAATTTGGGACACATGTTCAATTGACATCATAATCTTTTTGTTTGTTTTTTTATTTATTTTATTTAAATCTGAATATTATGCATAAAGAAGCAACAAAAACAAATGAAAGAACGAGGTCAAACATTAAAGAGAATAATTATTTTAACGACACAACTTATGTAAGTTTTATTCTGGTATGTAGTGAGTAAATTTCTTTTAAATAATGCTATGGAATGTTATGAAATGGTAATGTACTTTGATGCTAGAATAGCATTTGGTGATGCATATTAGATCAACATTACCATGAGATGGAAAGATAGTGACTTTGCATCTTCTATGTTAACAATCCATACCCACAAAGCGGGTTTCCTCATCTAGTTATAATTAAAGCTTGAAAGTTATGGTTTTAAATAACTTTTTTTTCAAAAAAAATAATTTAATTTAAGGTGTTACATGTTATTTATAGGAAAATATTTTTAGCTCCTACTTACTACTCCATTTCCTCAACTTCAACCTTCCTTACCCTATTTTCTCATTATCCGACAGACTCCTATAGGCTTCTTTGTCTTCTAACTCCTCTTCACGTGAACCACTCAATACTACAAGTCCAAATTAGCCGTGTGTTTTCCAAGCCCAAAATGACAAACAAATGATCTACAAAAGCTTGCATCATTTCAGCCCAAAAAGAAAGTATAAACCAGTTGAATGTATTGAAGGGTGGTCATACTAGTAAAGATTTGTCTATGATATATCTTATCGAAGAGAATAGAAGTGACGATGAAGTGGTGAAGTCCCTCGAATGTGTTCTTGCATACATTGAAGATCAAAATAAGCAACATAACCTTTATGTTGATATGCATAAGAAAAGTTTAATAATTTTTTTGTTATATCATATAATGTTTTCTTCATTATAATATATGTTTCACATATAATATATATCTCTAAGCACTTGAAAAAACACACATTTAATCAAAAAGATATCTATAATGATATTCTTTTGAATAAAAATGAAATATTATTATTTTTTAAATAATCTTATAACCGATAAAAAAACAAGTTTATAGATAAAAATAATATTTTCTTGAATAGAGTTTGCAATTATAATAATACAGTAAGCAAAGAAAAAAAATCAATAATATATTTTTGAATAAATCTAAAACATGTTACAAAATCTAAAGTTTCCAAAAAAAAAAAAAAGGTTGCTCAAAATAAAAAGGGAAGGGTTGTAAAAAGCAAAGAACATGTTGATGTAATGTTGGCATGTAAAGCTTTAACATTAAACCGGTCTACCGCGTAACCAATTGGAAAACCAGAGAACCATCGCGTGAACCGAAAGCCTCTCTGGTTTTTGACCACCGCCTTTCTCTTCTCTCTCTCCCCTTTGGAATCAGATTCTTGAAAGATCGAAACCCTAATCGTAGCCCTAACTACGACATGTCTTACCAATCCAGATCTTCAAATCACAACGAAAACGACGACCACCACGACAACCGTCGGTTATACAACCCTTACCAAGATCTTAGAGTCCCCGCACAAACCCTGTACAAACTTCCCACATCTCCTGAATACCTCTTTCAAGAGGAATCCATCGCTCAACGGCGTTCATGGGGCGAAAACCTGACATACTACACCGGCATCGGCTACCTCGGCGGCGCTGTAGTTGGCGCCGGGAAGGGTTTAGTAGAGGGCGTGAAGGCTTCTGAGGCTGGAGACACCATGAAACTTAGGGTTAATCGGATCTTAAATGCTTCTGGACATTCAGGTCGGACGATCGGCAACCGTGCGGGTGTAATCGGACTGTTGTACGCTGGTATGGAGAGCGGGATGGTTAAGGTGAGGGATGCAGATGATATTATTAACAGCGTGGTGGCCGGATTAGCGACTGGAGCGCTTTACAAGGCGGCGGCGGGGCCTAGGTCGGCGGCTGTGGCCGGAGCTATTGGTGGAATAGCGGTGGGATTAGCCGTGACGGGGAAGCAGGTTTTGAAGAGATACGTACCAATCTGAGCTCGATCTGTATTCAGTTTCATCTTACTACAAGTTTTGGTCTTTTGAGATTTCCAAAGGTGATTCATCTGTAGTCTTTTATACAATATTTTAGATGATTGACATAATTTGGCATGGAATGAAATGCGTGATTTTGTTTTGTGCACTCGATAGTTGTAACCCTTTATATTGTGTACTTTATAAGCGTCTGGAAGGGTTTTGTCACAAATAAATCATTGTAGACCTTGATATGGGAATTGTATCACAGGTTTCTGTAGCAGAATATTTGTTCAGGTGAAGATGGATTGATTATTGTTATAGCTTTTGTTGATGACAAGAAGTTAAGAAAGCCCTTCTAAGTAATCTTTAGATTATTGTCTTTTTTACCCTTTTTACAAAGATTCAGGGGTTTTGAGTTTTTACCATTCGATGCTCTTCTTTTGCATAGAGAAATGGTAGTACTAATAGAGTTATGTTGATTTTGAAAATTTTAGCCTTGTTCTATTTGAGCTATAGGATAAGTGTTTGTTTGGGCATGTTTCTTTTGATTTGGCATTGTTTATGCTTATAGAGAACAAGTTTTATGCTGAGAAAATACATTGGAGTGTCAATGGAAGCAAGCAGTCTCTCTACCATTAGGTCGAGTCTGTTTACATCTTATCTCCTATGGGACTTGGGTAATGTTGTAGATACAATCATACAAGTATCTCTCTAGTATTGTGTAGTGAATGGTGATTGTGAAAAAGTTAGTCGATTTATGTTAAAAACCTATCATTCAATTATTTTTTGTGATCATATTTGCTTATTTTGGATTTTTTTTGTAAATACACGATAGTAATTTTTTTTGACAAATACGTTGTTGTGATCTGGTAGATCAGCTATTGCATGTTCTTGATCGATTATAATGATGTAAGTATGTAATCTATACAACAAAAAAAAAGTTTAGGAACCCTTATGAGCAAAAGCCAAGTGATCAAATGAATAGTTATGAATTATAAAATAAACAATTTTTTGTATACTCATTATTATATAATTTGTGTCGTGTGTTAAAATAACAAAACGCCAAATGTAAGAAATAGTAATATATTTATATTTGTTTGTATTTTATAGGCAGCATCTTATAAGAATAAGAGTAAACAGAAATTGATGTAGTAATAAACAAACAAATAAAAGTATACTGCTATACTTTTGTATAATGAGAATAAAACTATATATATATATATATATATATATATATATATATATATATATATATTGTCCGTCAAGCAATCTCCAACATGACACCAAATCTAGTTTTTAACATCATATTCTATGGGAAAAAATGCGTCATTGCAACACAACTTTTTTAGATAAAAATATTGTTGTGCGAAGTTAAATAAGTATAGTACTATACTATTTAGGGAATAGGACTTGTTAAGGTAATTAACTTTTCAGGTTTTTCACATATATGTAACTATTTTTTTTTTTACACATCTAGGTAACAAACTTTTTGGAACTGTTTACATATGACAATTATGACCTGCTGTAGCAGGTTACATCCAGCTACAACAGGTCATAATGGTTATATGTGAACAGTTTCATCAAGTTCGTTACCTAGATGTGTACAAAAAAAAATAGTTACCTAAATATGAACAAAACCAAAGGTAAGAGTAAATTACATGAATGGTCCTTATGGTATAGGGGAATTTGTGCATTTGGTCCCTAACTTATTCTTTTTAACTTGGATGGTCTCTACTGTTTATTTTTGTTGCACGCTTAGTCCATGTCTTACCTAAAAAGACTATTATGCCCTTATTAATTTATTTTTTTAATTAATTTTCTTATTTATGTTTTTTTATATGTTTAAAAAAATTAATAGACCCCACATATCTGTATCTCCTCACCGTAAATCTGAAACGATATTTGAGAAATTTAATTTGAATCCCACCGGTCACCATCCCATCTCACATCCTCCTTAACCTCTATTTTCTTTCAATCTTTAGTGATATGGAAGTCTTCACCATTTTCTTTCAATTCTGGCAAACAAACACCATAACTCACGGTCTCTTCACTTTATTGGGTTGTGGTGTTGGTTCGCTGAAGTTGAAGGACCGAAAAAGAATAGATGGTGAAGACTTCATTGTCATTAAATATGAAAAAGAAATAAAAGTTTAGGATGATGAAAGATAGGATGGTGAGGAGATACAGATATGTGAGGTCTATTAGTTTTTTTAAACATATAAAAAAAATACATAAATAAGGAAATTAATTAAAAAAATTAAATTAATAAGGACACACTAGTCTTTTTAGATAAGACATGGACCAAACGCAACAAAACAAAACAGTAGGGACCATCCGAATTAAAAAAATAAGTTAGGGACCAAACGCATAAATTCCCCCAAACCACAGGGACCATTCGTGTAATTTACTCTTACTTTTGGTTTTGTTCATATTTGGGTAACTATTTTTCTTTTGTACACATCTAGGTAACGAACTTGTTGAAAGTGTTCACATGTAACCATTATGACCTACTGTAGCCGGAGGTAACCTGCTACAGCAGGTCATAATGGTCATATGTGAACAGTTTCAAAAAGTTTATTACCTAGATGTGTACAAAAAAAAGATAGTTACCTACATGTGAACAAACCAAAAGGTTAATTACCTTAATTAGTCTTATTCCCTACTATTTAAGACGGAAGAAGTACCTCCACAACATGGTGGGGTGGGGTGAGTTGGAGTTTACACACCGTTGGTGAACACCACACTAGTTGTCCGGTGAATGAGAGGGGAAATGAGATTTCACCGCCTTTTCTTTCCTCTCTTCAACGGTTGTTGTTTTTTTTAATAAATAAATTTTAACAACGTTTTGCTACTCTATAAATATCAAATTCATTCATTCACAATATCATCATAATCATCAACTTCGTCGGATATGTTGGCATTACGGAAAACATCATTTATCGGGAAAGATATGGCAAAAACAATTATGCATTATCAACAGGTTCATGTATTAGAACGAGAAGAGGTCATTTGAAGAGAAATTGTGAACACAGACACAATCATTTTACAAAATACTACTTTGCCGATGACAACGTAGACGCTTAAAAGTTTAGATGACAGTTTGATGAAAAGTTATTTCCACATATTGTTGATGAGTTGAAAGATCGGTTTCCACATTTTCAATTGAAGTGAAACGCGGGAGGTAAAAAATGTTTTTCTTCGATATAAAACTGCACAACCACAATTCGTTAAGCATATCAGCAGACTCATGCCAGATGAAGATTAATATTTGTCCCATCGAAGATGAAGATTCATATTTGTCCGTCGAAGATTCAAAAGAAAATTTGGTATGGGGTATTTTAATTTTTAATTATTGTTATATTTATAATTATGTTTTCTTATTTTCATTATAGATATATACGTTTCATTACTTTAATAAATTGTAATGTTTTTACTTGAAAATTATATAGACGTAGCGGGTAAACAAGCAATAAGTTGTGTTGCAACCCCTTTTTGGATGACAAAACTAATTCTTTTAAACACAACATCTATAGATCTTGGAGTCATAATATTACAATATATGACCCGTTGGACTCTATTGAGTAGCTCCACAGCTTCTGACACAAGAAAACCGCAAGTATCAAAAGCAAAGGGTATAAACGTGTGTTGATTTTCCATGCACGTTTTCTCATGTTTTGCCACTTCGCTTGATGCAGCTTTTAAAACAGTTTGCCCCACTGTGAAAACTCCACTCCCCAAGCCCACAAAAGGGGAGACCCCTGTTAGATCAACGCATGCATGTTTTCCTCCAGCCCATCCAAATACCAAAACATCAGTTGGTCTAAGTGTTGATCTTCCTTCCAATGGGCCAGTCAGAAAGTTCACATGTTCCTTTTTCTTGGCAGAAACCTCAGCGTGTCTAAATATGTCAAACAGAACATCCCTAACCAGATCGTGTTGGTACTTGAAACCCGGAAGCTCTTTACAATGAACTGCATGCTCCCCAAACGAGTCCAAACACGCCTTACGACAAACATGGCAAGTCTCGTCAGCCGGAAATAAAATAAAGGGACCATAAGGCGATACTTGAGGATGGCACAATACTCCACTGGCGACATATGCTGGCCAAGACCGTCAATAGGAATAGTCATAAGAAAATCCTGAGTATGTGGGGCCCTTAGACACTCAAAAATAGCTTTCTGCCTAATCGTATAACATATATATATATATATATATATATATATATATATATATATATATATATATATATATATATATATATAACAGATCCAAACTTCTTAATATTTAAATCTATGGTTATTATTAAGAAATCCATTTATGTAAATTGTAAAATTGTTGAGACGAATATGTAACATTTAAATGGATAGAAGGGTATAATGGTAATTTGAATAGGTAACATTTAAATGGGTAGAAGGGTATAATGGGAATTTTAATGTTCATTGGTTTCATAATGCTAGCTAACACAATAAATATACAATTACAATTCTCTCTCTCTCTCTCTCTCTCTCTCTCTCTCTCTCTCTCTCCCCATACACACACAGACCCATAAACTTAAGGATACTGCCGAAGCCATTCAAATCGCTTTCAAAATTGTTCAACCAATAGGGATGCTAAAACGTCTCTGTAGTACCCTGATCTCGTGGGGGCCCAGTCCCGTATGAAAGTATTTTCTTAAAAAATTGCCGACGGGAGCGATGGCGGGGGCAAGGTTAACCCCGTTTTAATTTCAGGGGCGGGAGTGGGTGTTGGCAGTCCCGTTCCGAAACCCCCATAGGGTCCTCGTTAATAAATTATATATATATTTAGATATATTAGTTATATAAATATAATAAACAATAAAATGATTTTTACGTTTAAGTCATGCTATAATAAGTATTTGTTACCTAAAAACTAGTTTCTTTTAGCCTAAAGAAGAACTTCTTTTAACCTAAGTAAGGTAGGCCAAAATCTATCGAGGGTGGGGCGGGGGTAAAATGGGAATTCAGGGGCGGGGGGGGGGGGGTGTGGAAAGGATGGATGTGTTGGGGGTGGGGGAACAACGAAATTTTGGGGGCAAGGGTATGGGATGCAATCAATGGTCCGTTTGCTCCCCTTGACATTTCTATCAACCAAAACTGAATAATAATGGACAATAGATTCAAGTACGTGAATAATATGTGCATATATGCACCGGAGAAACGAGTAGAAGATGCTGACGTTACATTGATTGATTTGTATAGGAATGAGCCGCAAAGAAGAAAAGAAGATTTTGGCAAGACTGTGTTAATTATAAAATAAGTGTATTTTGGACAATTTAAACATTAATATTACATGAAGCTAACTATCCCCTTCATTCCTTTTAGCATTGATGGCACATATTGCCTTCGTACCATCGTCGCATTGTCGCCGCAACACCGCCAAACTAACATCAAATTCAGTTACATTTTTCTAGTCTTATTCACAACTTAATAAACGTTCATAATTTATAAATTAATAGAATATACACAGCTGAAAATATTCAAAAAAGTAATACAAACATTCATAAATAAATTAATCATGTTTTAACACAAAATTCATAAATACATTCATAACTTTATACAATCTATTCACAGTTTAATAGACAAAATTTACATACACCAAACACCTTTAAAACAATGCATTCACAACTTAAAATAGTTCATTCACAGTTTAATAGAGAAAATCTGCATACCCCACACATCATATCCATATGCACCATAATCTCCTGAATTAACAGTTTGAAAAAATAGAAATATTAGTAGTTGAGACATATGCATACCTCATTGAGACATTTACCAAACATCTTGTATGCATCTTGTTTACGTCATTCATTCCTCTGAACAGCCCAACCAAAGACCATATCGAGAGAAACATAATAAGGAGAAGTCACTCAAATCGCTTTTAAATTTGTTCAACCAAAAATGAATGACAACAGACAAAATGAATGACAACGGACAAAGCATTCAAGAACATGGATAATATGTATATATGTGCACCAGATAAAAAAGTAGAAGGTGGTGGCACTACATTGATTGATTTGTATAGAAATGACTCGCAAGAAGAAAATAGGATTTTAGGAAGACTATGTGTTAATTATAAAATAAGGGCATTTTGGACAATTTAAAAATTAATCTTACATGAAGCTAACTCTCCCGTTCATTCCTTTTAGCACCGATGGCACTTATTGCTAGGAATGGCAACGGAGCGAGGCATGGCTTCCCAAACCCGAACCCAATTTCTAAATGTGTACCCGACCCCGATACCCGACATGTTTCTTATCGGGGCGCCACGTCGGGGCTGAAAATTTCCCCGAACCCGACCCTAAACCCGAAACCCGATAATCACCCGAAAACCCGACCCTAGAACCCGAAATATGGCAAAAAAAAGAAGGAAAAACTATAAATATAGAATGATAAATTACGAAGTTGCATAGGCTTAAAATACCAAATAAATTCTTAAATCATTTAACCAAATAGAAATTACTACTAGTTTAATGTTGTAACAACTAACCAACCAACCAAAACACCCAAGTACACAACATGAAAAACTAATTCATCAAAATAATACATTACCACTTAGCATTAAAACAAACTCAAAATTAAACAAGATCATCCAAACTTGTTGTCCCGCTTTCTTTAGTGTTTTCCTACAAAATATTAAACAAAATCAAAATCAAACCAAATCATGGAAACTGTATAAAATTAATATTTTTAGAAGTGTCGTTTTACCTCTTCCACATCATAATCAAATTCAACTGAACGACAATATGCCTTGGTCTCTTCAGAACAAGTTGCTGTATAAAATTTATATTAATATGCAAAAAAGATTCACAATTTCATATAATTAATATAAAATAGTATACTACCTTGAATTTCATTCAACAACCAACTTTGAGCACACATTAAAGCCTCCAATGTCTTTGGATGAAGTCGACTACGATGAGGACTTACTAATCTTCCACTAGTGCTGAAAGCTGATTCCGAGGCAATGTGGAAATAGGAATAACTAATATATCTTTAGCTATCCTTTGTAGTGTCGGGTACTTAATCCCATTTGTTTTCCACCACGCCAACAAATCAAGTTCCATGTCTTTAGGCAACAATTTCTCCTTCAAGTAGTTATTCAACTCACTCATACCTCCTGATTCATCATCATCTCTAATAATAGAAGCAATATCCGATAAGAGCTTTTTGAATCCAACACGATGACTGGAAGAGATACTAGAACAAAATGAAGATGAACCGGGAACTGAACCACCATAAACACCTAATTTTTAGTATAAAAATGTTAATAATTTAAGATAATGTTCTATTTATTATAAAAACAATAAGAAGATTATAATACCTTCACTCTTCCTTTTTTTAGATGCATTACTTGACTCGTACTCTTGAAACAAAGTTTGGACAAACGACTCCAAATTTTGAAATTCAATATTTGTCTTTTCTTCTCCATAAAGCACATGCAAAAGTAACTCCACAAACTTTAACTTGTATCGTGGATCTAAAACCGCTGCCATTCCCATTATCCCATGAATTGCAGACCAATACTTATTGAACTTAGAAACCATTTGGTCAGCCATATCCCTAATCTCCTCAATAGGAGATTTCGTCCACTCACGCAAAGAATACCCAATCTCACATATCAAAGGAAAAAAAACATTAGCTGTAGGATACTTTGAACCAGAGAACATAACAGTCACCTCATAAAAAAGTTGTAATCTTTCACAAATCTCACTAGCCAACTCCCAATCCTGTTATGTAGGAAAACATGTATACTTCGGGTCTCTTGTCTTTACCCGATCGAAAACTTCTTTGTAGCTTATAGCAACACTCAACATCAAGAATGTAGAGTTCCATCGCATCTTGCAGTCAAGTATCAACTTCTTCGTGTCTTGCGGGTCGGGTCGAGGCAGGCACTCCCCACTCCCTAACCCGAACCCGAAAAAATACCCGATAAGGACCCGAAACCCGATAAGAACAACCCGACCCGGACCGAAAACTTCGGCGATCAGGTTTTCCCGTCGGGTTCGGGTTTTTTTGCCATCCCTACTTATCGCCTTTGTACGATCATCGCATTGTCGTCGTAACGTCGCCAAACTAACATCAAATTTAGTTACATTTTTTTGGTCTTATTCACAACTTAATAGAAATTTATAGTTTAATATAACAATTTATAAACTATTTATAAATTAATACAATATTTACAACTTAAAGTATTATAAAAATTAATATAAAAATTCATACATAAATCATTTATATTTTAACACAATATTCGTACAAAATTTAAAACTTAAAACATTATATTCACAATTTTATACAATCCATTTACAGTTTAATAGACAAAATTATAACGCCAGTTTTCGATTAGGATTTCGAAATGGGGTCGATAAATGACAATGAGTAGTTATATAAGTAAAGACTAATTTGTAGTTTTAGCAAGTGAATTAATTAAATAAAATACAATATATATAGTAAATGCATAAATAATAATAATAATAATAATAATAATAATAATAATAATAATAATAAACAAAATTATTAAAATAAATCAATTTCCTTGAAATAAATAGAATATACAAGTTTAGGGTTAGTAATTTTTCAAAAATATGTTTTTTTTTTTTGAGAAAATTATTACTGGGGTCGATTTTAGCAGTAAGCAAAGCCTTAGGGACCAAATCTGCCAAGTTGCCAAACTTGTGTCTTCTTCCTCCCCTGTACTAGATGCAGAACACAGCAACGTATAGCTGTCTTATTTCTTTCCGTTTCCGGACCTGCTCAAAGGATATCAATGAAAGCATTTCCATCCTAACCTTAGTTACATTCCCTCATTAGTCGTTAAAAGCTATTCCCGCTCCTCCCTTGAGCTCAAATCCAGACAGAAAGAGAGAGCTGAGAAAGAGACAGGGCCGGTCCAAACGTATATGGGGCCGGGGCAAAAAGAAAAAAGAGGGCCCCGTCAAGACAAATATAATAAATATTTAAACAAATATCAATTATTATTCACTATAAGTGTGTTCAATTAGCAATAAAAAACAAGCCAAATTGTTTCTCTTTTGAGTTAGTTTGAGTTTGAACCAACTTTAGGCCCTAAAAATCATTTAAGTAATATTTTTTTTTTATATATATACACTACGTAACCCAGATATTTTGGGCCCCCTGGTGACTTGGGCCCTGGGCGTTCGCCCGGGTTGCCCACCATCTGGACTGACCATAGAAAGAGAAAATAAGTCCGAGAGAGAGAGAGAGAGATAGAGAGAGATTAATCGAAGTTGCGAAGGTAGGTCGACAAGGAAGAAGAAGAATTGAAGGGAAGGAGGTCGTCATCGTCGGTCGGAGCTCACATCAGAATCAATGGCAGCAAGAAAGAGGTTGAGAGAGATTCGAAGAAAAAGGGAGAGTCATGTCTCACCTCCCGTAAGGTTACTCCAGCTAAGTTTCTAGTTGTGAACCTGATGGTCTGGTTCGTTTCCGGCGGCCTCGACTCTCGCTAGGTTACTCCGGTCTCAAATATCAACAACTCATGATTCCAATATTCCTAGCTGATATGTCTGGTATGTCGCAAGGCATGTTTGGACTCCTTTGGAGAGCATGCAGTTCACTGTAAAGAACTCTCGGGGTTCAAATATAGGCATGATATGGTTAGAGATGTTTTGTTCTATATATTTAAGCGTGTCGGAGTTTCCGTTAAGAAATGGGCACCTGTGAATTTCTTGACTGACCCGACAGAAGGAAGGTCAACCCTAATGCCGGCTGACATTTTGATTTTTTGATGGTTCGGAGAGAAACATGCATGTGTGGACCTTACAGAGGTATCCCTTCTAGTGGGGCTTAAGGGCGGGGGGTTTCACGACAAGACTGACTGCTTTAAAAGCTGCTACAGCCAAAGTCACCAAGCATGAGAAACCCTGTATGGAAAATCAACACGTGTTCATACCATTTGCATTTGATTTCCTCGCACCGGATGTGGTAGAGCTTCTTAATAGAATACAACGGATCATGCATTGCAATGGTATATCCACTAGTTCTATGAATGTAGTCTTTTAAAAGATTGAGTTTTGCTATACAAAAAGGCTTAGCGACGCAACTTATTGCCCGTTTGCTATCTCACTTGTTGTACGAGGAGAATTAAATTATGTAATCAAAATAATTAATGATAATATATGGGCTTGCACTTGGATCATCAACATAATTCGTACTTGGGCTTCAATTCAATTCAAATCATGTTTTGGAATGATATTAAGTATTCGAGTAATTGAGTTGAAACATCACATAATCTATTTAATTAAATTCCATCTATACCAGTAGTTTATTTTTTAGCATTCATATATATATATATATATATATATATATATATATATATATATATATATATATATATATATATATATATATATATATATATATATAGGGTTAGGTTCATGTGAGACGGTCTAATTTTGTGAGACCGTGAGACGCATTTTTTTATTTATTTTTATTTTTTTTAATTTTTTTTAGTTAATTCAAGTTCCGAAAATAATATTTAAAAAAACAATTTTTTGATTTTTCCATTTATTTTGCATTTTAAAATTATTTTTAGAATATGTACAGTGTGATATTGTATTTAGAATATTTCACGTATTTTTCAAAAAAAAAGATTATTTTTTTTAGTTAATTCAAGTTCCGAAAATAATATTTAAAAAAAGAATATTTAGATTTTTCCATTTATTTTGCATTTTAAAATTATTTTTTAGAATATATCAGTGTAATATTCTATTTAGAATATTTCACGTATTTTTCAAAAAAAAAAACACGTGATTTTTTTTTATTTAATTTTTTATTTTTTTAAAATTTTTTTTTATTTTTTTAGTTAATTCAAGTTCCGAAAATAATATTTAAAAAAAGAATTTTTGGATTTTTCCATTTAATTTGCATTTTAAAATTATTTTTAGATTTGGTCTCACGATCTCACAAAATTAGAATGGTCTTAAATGAACCTGAATCTATATATATATATATATATATATATATATATATATATATATATATATATATATATATATATATATATATATATATATATATTAAAATGTTTGTATCTATGGAATGAAATAGGAAATGCAAGGTAATATATTATTTGGTTGGTTTTGGAAAGAAAAATTGGTTTTTGAGATAAATTCTACACCTTGAAATAATTATAAAAAACAAATAAATAAATAAATAAAGCTACTAGAAATGTTATTTAAACATCATTCTGTCACTTCACGACTTTGCCCCTTGGGAATGTTGGACGAATAGGGTTAAGAGGGGTAGATCAATCCAAACCACTTGTTATATATTGATCTTTAAAAATAAAAATAAAGCACAAAATGATTATATAACTATTTAAGGGAGATTAATCGGATTAATAACAAAAATATGGATTTCCTACCATTTACGTATGTAAGTATTTTTTTTAGAGTTAACGTGATTAACACGAGGATTTTTAATTAATTATCGGGTTACATATAAATAATCATAAACCAAATATTATATAAGTATTAGATTATAACACTTTGAATACAATCTAAACAGGGATTACTTTATGTTTATAGGTGTACACAGGGAACCCATCTTAATCACTTCAATGGTTTGGTTTTATCATATGTTTTTGCTACTTAGATGAGTTCCATGAGTTCTCATGAATTTAATTATTATATGGACTATGTGATGTTATATATCTATGTGGTACCACTAAAGTTCCCAATGTGTGTAGGTGGTGTAATATGAAGACCATTAAATGTCTAGTGTGTGGGTAGGTGGTTAGCATGGGAATCAAGTAGTATCATTTGGAGTATGTATGCTAGTATTTATGTGATAGGATGGAAATCTACTGATACCATCTATTTATGTGACAGAATTAGAATCTAGTGGTACCATCTGGAGTAGGGATGAGATTTAGAATCGGAAAATCGGAACCGTAACCGGAATCGGAACTGTTAGAACTGGAATATATAGAATCAGTTCCGGTTTCGGGTTTAAAATTTTGCTTTATCCGAGTTCCGGGTAATTCGGGTTTGGGTTAATCGGGTCCGGGTAAACCGAATCTAAAAACCGGAACCGGTGTTAGGAACCGGAACCATTTTTAGGGCCGAAACTGATTTTTGTGAAACGTTTAAAAGATGCATATTTCATTCGTTTCAACTCCGATTGACATGCGGTTTTTTCCAATGTGTAGTTTAGAGTTTGTACATAATTGTAGACTATAAACTTTCCATTTTTAGTTTTATATTCATTAACCTACAGTCCCCCAAAGTCGAGATATCAAAGCCGAAAGTTTTTAGTTTTTCAGTTTTTTTTTGTATTCTGTAAAAGTTTTAAAACACGCATATCAACTTCGTTTAAAGCCGGATTGATATGTGATTTTTTTCCAACTGGTAGTTTAGAGTTTGTATATGAGTTTAAACTATAATTTTATCATTTTTGGTTTAATATTCAATGATTTACAGTCCCCCGAAGTCAGGATATCAAAATTGAAAATTTTCAACTTTTTAGTTATATGTTTTTATACTTTGTATTCTGTAAAAATGTTAACAAATGGCTATCTCATTCATTTAAAGTCGGATTGACATGCAGTTTTTTCCAGAGTGTAGTTTAGAGTTTGTACATGATTTTAGACTATAACTTTGTCAATTTTGGTTTTATATTCAATGAGTTACAATCCCCCAAAATCGGGATATCAATATGAAAATTTTCAAAGTTCAAACCACTAAGTAGTAAGTAATTACCAAAAAATTCTGGTTTTTCCGGGTTTTCCAGTTCTAAACCCACTTTATCCGGTTCCAACCTACCCACTTTGATGTTTTTGGGTTTTCCGGTTCTAAACTCACTTTACTCGGTACCGTACCCACAACTAAAC